AAGTCGAGGACTACCTATAATGTAGCTCTTTCAAGGTTACTCCAATCATCTTGAGTTCCCTCTTTTGCTTCGCTCAGTCTTTTTGAGCACAATCTTGAGTGGCATGCAGATATTTGTCTTTCTCTGAATTATGATCTCAGAGGAACCACCACTTAAAGTTCATTTGAACAAAGTAATCCCCAGACTTATGGCCTTCTAAATCTTGGAAATCAGCTGTCTTTCACCGAAAGATCCATTCCCTCATCCTGAAATGTTTATTCCGAAACATCTTGTCAGCACATGGCCAGGGTGAAAACTGGAAAAGCACTTTAAAGTGCCACTGTAAAGAAGTCCAGAGACAAGGCACGAAAAATGGTGCAAGGTCTGAGAGACAATATCTCAGGAGAGATTGGAGGAACTGAACATGTACAGCCTGGAGAACAGAACGGAAAGGGGAGACATGACTGAAATGTTTAAATATATTAAGGGTGTGAATAAGATTCTGGAAGGCAGCATTTACAATATTAAGCAAAAACCAAGAATGCAAAGGCATGGTCTTAAACTGANGATGCTCCGCCTCCGTCTTTCTCGCCCAGGCGGAGGGAGGGAGGGGAAAGGACAGTCGTGCCCGCAAGCCCCGCCCTCCCCGACGCTCCGCCTCCCTCACTCTCGCCCAGGCCAGGGGTTGGCTCTTTTATGACTGGTGGACTTCAACTCCCAGAATTCCTGAGCCAGCCATGCTGAGGGGAAAGGGAGAGGTTTCCAAACTGAGCCATGCTGGCTCAGGAATTCTGGGAGTTGAAGTCCACGAGTCATAAAAGACCCAAGGTGACCTACCCCTGGCCCAGGCTGAGGGAGGGAGGGGAGAGGACCGTCGTGCCCGCAAGCTCCGCCCCTCCCCCCGATGCTCCGCCTCCGTCTCCCTCGCTCAGGCCGAGTAAAAGGATCGTCGTGCCCGCAAGCTCCGCCCCCCTCACGACGCTCCGCCTCCGTCTCTTTCTCCCAGTCCCTCAGGAGGGTGGGAAGGACCGTCGTGCCCGCAAGCTCCGCCCCCCTCACGACGCTCCGCCTCCCTCGCTCTCGCGCAGGCCGAGGGGGGGAAAGGACCGTCGTGCCCGCAAACTCCGCTCCCCGACGCTCCGCCTCCCTCTCTCGCCCAGGTCCTGAGGGAAGGACGGACCGTCGTGCCCGCAAGCTCCGCCCCCCGACGCTCCATCGCCCAGGACCTGACGAGGGAGGGGAAAGAACCGTCATGACCGCAAGCTCCGCCCCCCCGACGCCCCGCCTCCGTCTCTTTCTCCCAGGCCCTGAGGAGGGGGAAAAGTGTCATGTCTAGCGTCGGAGGATCTACCGATAAGTCCTGCTCCCCGGCGCTCCGCCCACCCCGCCTGACGCGCGCATGCGCCGTTCCGGGGAGGGAGAGAGGCCTAGAGGGCCGCGTCCAGACATGGGGGTGGAGGAGGAAGGGACCGTCGTGCCCCGCGCCGGAGGACCTCCCCACAAGCTCCGCCCCCTGCCCCGCTTCCATCTCTCTCTCTCGTCCCGGCCCTGACGGAGGAGGGGGGAGGAAGGGACCGTCGTGCCCCGCGCAGGAGGTGCTCCCCACAAGCTCCGCCTCCCCTGTACGGCCGCCCCGCCCCTTGTGGCTCTAAGGCAAGGAAGGCCGTGGAGTGTCCCGCCTCTTTCGCTTTTGGGCGACCCCTGCCGGCGGGAGGAACGGGGCGGCGCTTTTGGGCGGGAAAACGCCCGTCTCGCCTCAGACGGAGCGCCGCCCGCCAAGGGGTGTGGTCGCTTCTGGCTGAGGGGAGTTTGCTGAGGGGCGGGAAACGGCGGCCCTGATTTTCTTTCTCTCTCTCTCTCTCTGTCTTTCCGTCTCTTTCCCGCTTTCTTTTTCTCCCTCTCTCCCTTTTCCGTCTCTTTCTTTCTCCCTCATTTTCCCTCTCTCCATCTTTCTCTCCCACTTTCCTTCCTTTTCTCCCTCACTTTCCCTTTTTGTCTTTTTCCCTTTTCCCTCTCCCACTTTCTTTCCCCTTCTCCCTCTTTCCGTCTTTCTCTCCTTTTCTTCCTCGCTCTTTCCATCTTTCTCCCTTTCCCTCTCCTTTTCTCCATCATTTTCCCTCTTTCCATCTTTTTCTCACTTTCCCTCTCTCCATCTTTCTTTCCCTTTCTGTCTTTCTCCCTTTCTCCCTCCATCTGTATCTCTCCCACTTTCTTTCCCTTTCTCTCCTTTTCTCCCTCACTTTCTGTCTTTCTCACTTTTCCTCTCCATCTCTCTCACTTTCTTTCCCTTTCTCTCCATAACCTTTCCCTTTCTCCATTTCCCTCTCCCTTTCTCTCCCACTTTCCATTTGTCTCCCTCTTTCCCTTTCTCCCTCTCTCTTTCCCTCTCCCTTTCTTTTTCTCCCTCTTTCCCTCTCTTTCTCTCCAGCCTCTACTCTGGCTCGGCTGAGATTTCTGATCAAGCGATGGGAGAAAGAGGGCCCTGACAGGCTGTAAAGCCGGAGGGTGAGGACAGCTGGAATTGGGGAGGGGGGCTAGGCAGGCCTCTCCTCAGGCACCCACCCAGCTTCCATCAAGAAAGAGAGAAAAGGGATCCATGATGGCCCCATAGCAATCTAGGATGGTTGTGAGGTCTGCCACCCAAGAGGGACCTTCTTAAAAAGTCCCATTTGGGAACATTTGGCTTTATCTTCCCATCCACTCATCCATCTATGCTCTCCATCCAATTCATCTACCCATCCATTTATCCATCCTATCTATGCCATCCATCCAACCTATTCATCTAAACCAGTGGTTCTCAACCTGTGGGTCGGGACCCCATTTGGGGTCGATCGACCATTTCACGGGGGTCGCCAAGCAAGGCTGTCCGCCATTTTTTTTGTCCGCCATTTTTTTCCCCTTTTCCGGCGGGTGCCTTACCTCCCTTGGGCTGGGCCAGCTGGTGGTCGGCCTGCTCCGTCTCTGCCGCTTGCCAGCTATGCCTCGGCCGGCGCAGGGGGCGGAACCACGCAT